TTGATGATACAAAAACTACCTGCGCAGTCATGCTCGAAACATACATCAAGGAAACATGCTTCAGACGTCCTTGAGACGTGTCCCCAGACTTTTCTGTCGTCATGTCTACAGGGAACGTCTCTTTTGATATGACGTACGAGTAACATCACTGCGCGCCTTAAAGGCCGACGATCAGACTCGAGATTCTGCAAGGCAGAAGATCCTCCTCATCATGTGCAGGAGGAAATAGACAACGGTGGGCAAAAGGGGGGAGAGGAAGAAGCGAGGGAAAAGTGGAAAGCGCGAACTGGTCGAAGGTCTTTAATACCCGTGCCACACGGGCAACTCGAACACCATTTACAACGAATGACATTTGTGTGATAGGTGAATCAGCTCGGCAATCTGTCGCGCGTGGAATGCGCTACGTCCGGTGTGTCACGCGCTGATGGGCCGTCCGCTCAAATGTCATTCGTCGTAAATGGCATTCGAGTTGCCCGTGTTGCACGGGTAGGCACAATGTGCGCAGTCTGTTCTCCTTCGCGCATACTTCAGAGACCACAAGGCTGCAACGTTGTGTGTAACCCAGTAAATAAAGCAATGGATACGCGTAAATCTGTCACAATAGCCACTAGCGTTGCCACTTCTTCGTGCACGGTGACGTGGAGTTTTGTTCGAACCTTTTGTCAACCCTTGCGTCAAATATGAATCCCGGAGAAAAGCTTGCCAAAGAAAACCTCACCCGTCTTTTCAAAAACCGGAGAAGTGTTCACCTTGAATCCAAATGTTTGCGAAGTGGTTGTCATAAAGCACTCTAGCATGACCAAAGATATGGATGCGCGTTTCACGCAGAAGGTGCATGTTTCAAAATAAGGTACTCTGCTGCACATTGCCAAATTTCTGGGACATTCCGAAGACTAAAACGTTCTCGAGGAAATACCAAAAATATAATTGATTTGGATTTTATGGCACACAGGGAATTACACTCATCGGGAACATTACGAATTTTTGTCAAGGAATGCAGAAATTTATTATTTTGTGAATGTGGCCCATAGAATTCAATGGGAAAAAAATTATACGCGCCCAAAAGTTTAATTGGTGCTTATTGATATTTTTCGACTGTCATCTAATACATACGCGGGAGCATTGTGGTGTTTGTTGTTACTCAGTTGAAATTCTCATTTTAATGCATGCACCGATTCGTTGATGTCCCAGAAACTTGGAGATAGCCCTCGTTTCGCTTTCATGTAAACAACCGCTTTCACGTGACTGATGCCACGTTAAATTTTGACGTAGCCGAATTGGAGAAAATATAAACTTCTTTTATTATAATAATTAAAAGTTACATTGTTAAATGAAAGGTGAAATATAAAGAATTCACAAACACAGTACCGCTCACTACATAAAAAGCATCATGGAACTAGTCAAGCTGCAGGCTGCCTGCTACACTGGTTATACTTCTCGTTGACTATTCTGTAAATACCGTATTTTATAGAATTTAAAGAAAAGTTATGTTCAACGTGCACATGTCGCATCCTATCCTAACGCACATATGGCGTCCAAACATAGTTCAGTTGAGTGGCCGTATCTCAGCTTAGTGAACGTTCGGTGGTTAACATATTCATGTAGGTTAGCTTTTCCCCATCCCAGCCAAAAGTTCGATGAGCTTTTCTCCTTATCCGATGATTTTCTCGTAAACTTTTTTTTAGAGCTTTTTTTCTGTTGATTGTTCCGCCGCATCTTACAGCTTTGCGGTGAGCTTTTCTCCGTTTTTTTTTTTTTTTTTTTTTTTTGTCTTTTTCGGTGAGCTTTCTCTGGTGAGTTTTTTTCTCTTCATCCAACGGTTTCGTAATGAGCTTTTCTCCGGGGAGCTTTCTCTGTTGATATTTTTCCGCATCTGACAGTTTTGCGGTGAGCTTTTCTCCGGTTAGCTTTTTTCCAACGAGCTGATCTCGGGTTAGTTTTTCCTCTTATTAGCTTTTCTTTGAATCTAATGATTTCGCGACGAGTTTTTTTTTTTTTTTTTTTTTTTTCTGTTTATAACTTTTAGCATTGGACGGCTTCGCGTTGGGCTTTTCACCGATTTGCTTTTTTCAATTAGCTAATCTCCGGTGGACCTTTTCTCTTGTGAGTTTTTCTCTCTATCCGACGGTTTCGCGGTGGCATTTTCTTTTATTACTTTTCTGCAGTGAATGTATCTAAGGTGAGCTTTTCTACCCGTTCACCCCTAAGCTGTGACTGCAGCCACTGCCACAAACACGAGAGCTCGAGGACTCTGCTTTGCAGCTTTCTTCCGCAGAACGAGCACTCGCGCTAGAAATGCAAGTATCAAAGCCATGAGCGGGGACTAGCTCGCGCTATAGGCTATACACATAGTAGACAATGACCCTTACGAATTCCTAAGCATGGTTTAAATGGCTCGTGTGTCTTTTGGATCTATGCCGTCGCCCCTTTGCGTATCCATTTCGAGAGTACATCGACCGTCTGACCGGCTCTACAACCACTTTAGCGTGGGTATCCTGAATGTAAACAATCCAAAGAAATGCCCAGAACAGCCAGCTGGGAATGAGATGCCCCAGCGGAACGCATTAGCCATAAAGTTGTCGGTGCCGTCTCGAGTTTTACGACCACTGCCAGCCGCGGATTAAAGGCTCGCGATGCACAGCTTGGGGTTCGGCCGATGCCCTCGTGTGTGTGTGTGCGCGCGCGCTTGCGTGCATGTGTGTGTGTATGTGTGTGTTTCTCGTATTTATCTGAACACGTCCACTCTCTCGTCTCGCCGAGGTACGGAAAAAAACACTAGCTCGGCAGTTTTGCGCTTGGTCAGACTATATAAGGTCAGGCTGGAGTTCAGCAATACGGCTGCTTTATTTCGGTGATTCAATAACCGTGCGAGAGATTAGGCTTACCTAGGGCCGCTGGCTACACATTTAGACTGACGCCAATCCATTTCCCGATTATCTTATATGCGCTACCATTTCGATGCTTTGTCTGCAGAGCGGGCGAAGATGCGACTCCCTGAGCTAATTATGATACGGCATCGAGAGATTCAGTCGATGGCGTTTTTCTCTGTCATTCGGTGTTTTAGTGTTCCCCAGAGGACGGTAAACCGTTTCCTGCCATTTCAGATAAAGCGTCTCGAGATATATATGGCAACCATGGTTGTAAGCAAAATGATGGCTGATATATCGCTGTCCTGAAGCGCAGCTTGATTACAGTGGCCCAAGGCTTACCACTGCAGCCATCCATGGGGCCGCACAAAAGACTGCGGATCAATGACCTTAGTCCTTTGGTGCGTTTTCGAGTGTGTGCGGACTATACTCCGTTTCACCTTCAGTCCGAGCGCAGCGGACGCTAGGAGTAATCCCAGCCAATCCAGCGTGGAGAGAGTGTCATGTGACCTTGAGCTCCCTGTGTCCCTTTGCCCAACCGGCAGGTCACGCGATTTCCTCCCGGCGCTGGATCGGCTGGGATGGCCTGTGGCGTCCACTGCGCTCAGACTGAAGGTGGAACGGAGTATAGTTAGTGTGCCGGTGGAGGCTTTTGCGAAGCATCTTCTTAACGAGCCTACATTTGTGCCCTTTGTTTACGAAGAAAGGGGGCATGATCGAATGTTGACCTTAATATACGTATGCTGGTGGGAATGGGCTAAGAGGCATATATAGACGCTTTAAACACGCGCCAGATTGTGCCGCCATTGCGGACCTTCTCTTGTCTTACCGAGATGCCGAGCCACTGAAGCGGGCGTTGACGATCCTCCATAAAGGCCTATGCTGGGGAGAAGGACACATAGCACCTAAAGTGCCAATAACCTGTCCTGCTGTCCCAATGATGAAGTGAAGCGAACGGATTAAGAGGAAGGAAAAAAGTGAAAGCCGTTTTCAACTCCCTGTAACGCCGAATTGGAGCGCAGCTCTTGAGGAGGAGGAGGGAAGGGTACTGAGGGGAGGGTACACCCCTCCTCCTCCTCCCCTCATTCTTTAATATGCTCCGGGAGGTCACCTGACCTCGGGGGAGGGGGTGGAGGGGGGGTCACGTAACCTCGGGGAGGGGGGCCACGTGACGGGGGTCACCTGGGGGTCACGTGACCTTAGGGTGACTTTGGGAGGGTCACGTGAGCTTGGGGTGACCTTGGTTACGCCGACGGCGACGGCGACGCCGCTCAAGCCGGAAACGGGCGCCTAAGAGCTGCGCTCTAAAACTGAAGGTCGGTTATGGCGGCGCCCATGCACAGCTTCTTAAAAGCGTCTATAGCAACATGCCGACGCCCCAACAGGCACTTGCTCAAAAAGTGGATATAAGGACGAGTCTAGCGTTTGGTATACATGTGCACTATTCTACGCCCCTAGTTCTAATTCATAACAAACACGCCATCGCAGATTAAAGGTGCAGGAGAGGGAGAGAGAGAGTTGCACTTTCCTCCCAGATGCCGGGCTTGGATATGTCTGGAAGCGTTTGTACTGTTGCCCGAGTTCTGGTTGGATATTACTGTGGTACTTGTCCTAGGTATTTATTTAGCCAAAGTTAGCAGGAACATGGGAGCACGTGGCATCACTAGCATGGCATCATAATGGCCGGGCGTGCCACCACAGCGCGTCGCTGCAGTTGCCCGCCTGGTCGCTGGAGTGCTCTGACGGTACCCGATGCCACGTGCTCCCGTGTTCCCGCCAACTGTGATTAAGATAGTACCGCATAGTGACGTGTCTGCTGCGGCGCCAAGGTAGTGTTCGAAGTGTTCGGTCATTAGGTTTTCATAGTCACTGATTGTCTAAGAAACGCGTGGATTATCGTGTTTAGGCTTCGTGATTCGCTCTCCTGCTTTCTTAGTGACTGAGACTGTACCAGAGCTCGGTGCTTTGGCGTCCCCCGCCCCCTCTCATATCTTCCTCTCCCTCAGGTCCCAGACCCTCGCGTCACTTTTTTTTTTTTTTTTTTTGCGTTTCGGAGTTTATCTTTGTGAAGGGTCTTCTCTGGAGTCCCGTCGTCCGGTATACACCAACAGTTCGGCCGTCCCTTCTTTGTAGAGCGGCGCAAGAAGCTGTACTACGGCACGGACGTGATCCCGCTGCCCGTGTGCCCGGTGACCACCAAGCCCGTGTCGGCGAACGGCGACAAGCCAGTGGCCGGGGCCGAGGGCGGCATCACGGCCTCGACCCCGGGGGGCATCGTCCTGCTGCCGTTCGTGCGAAGCCGCGCACAAAGGGACTCCACCTACAGCAGCATGTCGACCGCGAGCAGTCGCGGCGAGGCGTCCGTCCACGTGAGTACCACGGGGCTTCGCAGCGGCGCACGCGAAGACGCTTCCCTCTTTTCACTTGAGCTAGACAGAAGGAGACTCACCTTTCCCTCCTCTCTCCCCTCCTCTCGACGTTCGCTCTGCTGAAGTAAAGAGAGGAGGGGAGGACCTTGTAGAGTACAGAGACGGCGCAATGCTTCGTCTTACCTTGAGGAGACAGAAAACTCCCCCTCCTTCATTTTTTTTAATGCCTGTATAGTACACGCGTGTCACAAAATAACCATTCCCCGCAAAATTAAAAAAAAAAATAATAATTGGGTTGTGTGACACAAACAGGCAATTTAAGTGTCTGTTGTCCCAGAGAGCTTAGTTCTCGAATTCGCCGCTAGGTGCAAGGTGCGAGGCGGCCCCTCCCCAGTGGAAAGCGAGCTTGAGTAGATGGCCGCGGAAGTGTACTCGTGACTTATACCTGGTTCGTCTTTCTGTTTTTGTTTTTATCAGAGCGACAACTCCGCCGATGTTGTGACGAGTGTGGAAGGGGTAGGTGAGGAAGGAGACGTTGTACTGGGCCACGCCACCCTGTCGCTTCGGTACCAAGCCCAGACGTCGCCGGGCGGCAACCCTGCTACCACCGGATACCCCGCAGGGAAGCTACTGGTGAACATTCGGGTGAGTTGACTATTTGCTCATTCGAAACCTTTATTTATTCGTGCAAAATACTCCGAAAGACCCTCCAAGCTCTGATATTACATTGGAAAGGGGGGGGGGGGGGGGGGGGTACGTAATTCACGAAACGTACGAAATAAAATATAAACACGACAGCGAAGCAATTTAGAAAAACATTCTAAAACGATTAAGAAGGTAAATATAAGTAAAATGCACATGAATAGGCAAGAGAAGAGCTAGATGTTATTATCACTGCACGTGAGTTCATGGAATTTTGTTACATCATCTTTGGTGGCTATGTGTACTGGTAGGTTAATCGATTATTGTTTGTGGTATGAATGATTGCGCATTGAATTCGTATTCGATGACCTACATATACCAGCACACAGTATTAAACTTTTTTATTTATTTTTTTTTTTTTTGCAACAGGAAGTAATCCTGTTGCATTTTCATTAAGGTTTCATTGACACATTATATATTAGGGAAATACAGGATATTTTGTCTGTTTTCTTAACAAAAATCTTTGTTTTAAAATATGAAGAAAGGTGTTGTGTAGTCTTCATAGTGTAGATTGGCAGATTACTTCTTTAATCGTTAATCTTTCTGCTTTTAGGATGAAAATAAACGAATGACGTGCTGAGAGAAAGTACCTAAAAAGTAAAATTATCTACAACCGAATGGGGTGCTCAATGGAAGAACCACATATCGCATTGTGTTTCCATCAGTGTTGCGGAGTTGCCACTCCGGAGTTGGAATGATTCCGGAATCATTCCGCATTTTCGCGACCCCGGAATGGAATGGGAATGGAATTGCGGCAACGTTCAGGGGAATGGAATGGGAATGGAATTAGATACCTTTTGCCCGGAATGGAATGGGAATGGAATGGGCACGGTTCCTCTTCTTTTTTTTTTTTTTTGTGTTTACGGTCAGCTAAACCTAGCCAGTCAGCGAGTCAGTTGCTCAGAAATAAAATGAGCGGGAAACTGCTAGCCCGCGTGGAGCCCTAACAGACTTATACGCAAAAGAAAAAATGCAATATAAAAACAAGCGTCAAAGCAAACAACAAAGGGGGAGGGAAGGGGGGGGGGGCGGTGGCGCCTTTCACCAGCGAAGTTCCACACCAACAGTTAGTATGTATGATCCCTATGACACAAACCCGAATGCCTCTGCGCCTGTTGCACGGCTCAAGGGTACGTCATCAGTCGACGTGAACCTGACCCGCTGCTCTGGTGATCCGATACCCAGGAAGGAGGCCAGACGTGGCCTCGCCTCGCTGTGCCGACCCAGACTTCGTACTCCTGCGAGTCGTCTCGAGCGCGCTGTTTCTCGGAGAGCTCAGACCTTGCCGGCCATCTCAGGTCGCAAACCACAGGTCTCTGTTTGGATGATGCTAGCCGAAACTTGAGGACTGCCATTCACGCGTTGAAGGCGGAAGGTCGGCAGGAAGGACCGTTACAACAGGGATACCACCGTATTGATTTTTCGACCGCAAGAGAAGATAAGACATGTGCTCCAGGATGCTTCAGGTGGTCCGCCCTATTCTCAAAAATTCCAAATGCAACTGCCTGCATGGTCTTCAACGATGTCGCCTACAACGAAAGTACTTATTGTTCTTTCATACAACAGCGTGGGTAAAGTTTCATGTTTAAGGCAACACCTACAAATACAAGAATACTAGTTCATTCCGCCGTGACGTCATGTGATCAGTGTTGGCAGGGAAGTGATGATGTTTTGATGGAATTTTTTTAGAGGTCGAAGTCTTTTCGCATCACTGGTCAGACAGACAGGATGCCAGGGAAGGGACCGCGGTCAATCCTTGATGGAACGTTTGTTGAACCCATTGAAGACTCCTCTTTGACCGGACCTGCGGGAAAGTAATTTCGAGACAAAAAAAGAAAAAACTTCCACTTCAAACTTAAAGCCTCATCTCAGTTGGCATCTCAAAGAAATTAGAAAAATTTATTGCATCATGAGTATTTATATTTCTGCCCTCCCTAATATGTATTCCTGCATTTGATTTTCCAAAGACTTTTTGACTCGTTTTAAAATGTATTTCCGATACGTATCGCAATATATTTTTGCAGATATATTTGTGTATCAGTATTTTAGCTACTATACCCATCTATCCCAGTATTTGTATTTTCAAATACATTTTCGACTATTCTGCCCAACCCTGCAATGCAATGCAGCTGTCAAGTGAGACTTTTAACGTTTAGGAATTAGAGGAATGGAATGGAACGATTCAGCCATTCCAGGAGTGGGAATGGGCCCAGTATCTTCATTCCTAGGAGTTGAAAGGAGTGGAATTATCGAAAACTCTAATTCCCCGGAATGGAATTGGAATGGAATGGGGGTGCCCATTCCGCAACACTGGTTTCCATAGCTCCCATGCACACTGCTAGCACAAACTTCACATCGTTCTTTTTTTTTTTTATTGTTTTAACAGTGCAGTGGGATGATGATGAATAAATCTTTATTTATCGAGCATCAGGTGCAGATGTTGGGGCACCCGTCCGGTGGAGGGCATTCTTAGTCCGGGATATGCACTGGGAACTTCTCTACTTAGGTTCACGTACCATATGAGCACTTTCCATCACACTTCTTGCTTGGGCGACGGCCTTTCGAGTCAAAGAGAAAAACAGAAAGAAAGATTGCTAGTTCCTCGCTATGTTCAGCAAAGGAACAGCAGGAGAGCCAAGGCGCCGCTTATTTATTTCGCTGCACATCACACTGCACACGGACGTTTTTTGCGATTAATTGAGAGATAAAGTTTTCCGCTGTGCACCTCCACGTCATGTGACATCACATGGCACCCCAACCTCGCATCATAACGTAACGTCACTACGTCACGTTACGTAATGCTGTGACCTCACGTGATAAGGACGTTACGTGTGATGTTACATCTTACGTGGCACTGTCACATGACGTGACGCCGTGACATGGCACTCCTCGACTACCCAAAACGGAACACAGCCGAAGACCCGCCGCGTAACGTCGCCAATAACAACCCACGCTGAAAAAAAATGGAAATCTTTGGTTTGCGCTAACAGTGTCGCGCCACGTGCACACGCCACTGAATGTTACTTTGATGGCACATATAGGCTTCGAATCTTTGCGACAGAGGGGGAGGGTGATCGGTGGTCGAGCACGTTAATGCCCCGCAGCTCGCGGAGTACGTGGAGCGTAAGTTCGACCTGCAGAACCCGGGGATCCTGAGTTCAATGATCAATCCCCGCCCCTGCCCGTTTTGGTCCGAACGAGCATCGTACCTGCGTGCAGTCGTGTATCACTACTGCCCCCGCTCAATTGTTCATCTCCTGCAGAGACACCCGACGCGTACTGGGGCTAGGTTTGTCTAAACAAACTTACTTTTCTCCTCGCCACAGGAGGTGCAGAACCTTGCCCCGAGGGCCTATGGCGGCATCTGCGACCCCTACGTGGTGGTGAAGATCCTCAAGGGCCGCATCAAGAAGAAGCGGGGCAGTGGCAGCAGCCTGCGCCGCCCCAGCTGCATCGGTGGCGGAGGGGGCGCTCACTGCCTGCTCCAGTACCAGACGCAGGTGAAGCGCAAGACGCAGTGTCCCCTCTTCAACGAGAACTTCTCCGCCGACCTGGCCAAGGGAGAGCTCAAGGACTGCTCTCTGCTCGTGGCCTTGTTCGATCTCGACAAGGTGGGTAGGGGTGGCAGGCTCCTCAGACAAACTATACGAGGTGTCCCCGAAAAAAAAAAGAGCCTAGTTTGTATCGCACAAACAAACCAAGCATCGCCGAACCCTCTATCTCCTCCCAAACAGAGCGTTAGCGGTACGGTCGTGGTGTCAAGTTTTCAGAAGTAATTTCAAGCAACCGTCATATTCTTCAAAATTTATAAAGCGATGTACGGACATTTTTAGTGGAATAACGGCGGGGGTCGACGGAGCCCACGAATCACGTTGCCTGCATCTTTTCTGCACCCACGAACACGTGGAGATGAATTGCCCCAGCTGGCGGGAACGGGCCCCAATTTCTCGTTGTACGAACGCATGCGTGGAACGCTCGGTGGGATTTGTCTATGTGGAGCACAAGTTCGTCTGCTTCTTGCTCAGGGGATGCGATGATGTCAGAACGCCATACTCTTTGTCGCTGATTGAAAAAGAAAAAATTGTGGGTAGACTTTGAAGCATCTAGCCTTGAGGTCTACCCACAATCCTTCCATTCAAAGCCAATCAGAAATTGGCGTCGTTTTGACGTCATCGCTACTCTTGCGCATGGAGCAGACGACTTGGTCTCCCCATTGGTTTCGTCCGTTCATTGTGCTTCGCATTATATACAGACGCTCGTTTCCTTCAAAGCTGATTGGCGCACTTGCCTTGAAGTGTATTAAGCCGTGATCACGGCTCTCTTACGTCGTACAAAGTACACTGTGTTTGCTGTAGACATGAGGACAGGTTTACCTGCGGACACTCGCAGCATGTTTGCATGATGCTTACGTGAGACCATATGACCAGTGTAGCAGGACCGACACACAGGGAAGAAACACGTCCCAGACAGTGGGGAGTTTTAGGGAACCGTTTGCGCACATCCGATACGGTACTACGGGCCCTCCTGTATACGAACTGCGAATATGATAGTCTTCTGTGGTGGCGCATGCGCAGTGCGTACCGGAGAGTCCATCGCGCCGTATGGAATATGGAAAAAAGAAACAGTTCCCTAAAACTCCCTATTGTCTGCAGACTCCCTTGTAAATAATGTGATATCGGTGTGACGCGCGGCTTTACGGTTCTCTATAGAGGGTAGCATCCTGGATATTTTATTCGTGCCTTTCTTTCTCCGCAGTACTCCAACGACACCGAAGTGGGAGAAGCCCTTGTGGCACTTAAGGAGCTCCAACTCGTCGGCAATCCCGATGAGCAGATCCTTCACCTCGACCTCAAGGAACCGAAGCAGGTAGGCTCCGCGACTATCCTGCTCAAAGTATAGTCTTCATTGGTTCTAATACGTGTTTTGGATACCGTACTGGAAGCCTGTGAACACGTTCGGCATGTTTTACGACTAGCCTTATCTTTGGTTCTGTAAGTAGCACTGTTGAAAAGTCGCACTCCTGATTATAAACGGGTGTTTTCACACACACACGAGAAAAGGTTGGCATATAAGTCGCATATTCGTGTAGGTTGAACTTCTATATTTGTGCGGTCGGCGCGGGAAAACTGCGTTGATAATGTTTAGGGGTTAAAAGCGCTAAAAACGACGGACGAGTAGGAGAGACACACAGCACAGAGCGCTATTCAACCAACCAGCCCAAATCCAAACCCTTCCGCATTGATAAGCCTGGTTTTGTGTTTTGTGATCGCCATATGTGCAGAGGCGGGAGCCAGTTTCAACGTTCCCGTCAACGAATCGAACGAGAAATATAACCCCCGTGACAAATTTGTATATTTAGGGTCCATACTCGAAGAGAGAAAAAAAAAAAAGGCATAAAAGTCACATTATCGCATAAAATACACTGCCGGAAATTCTTTAAAAAAAAAGCCGAGACTTAGATGCCGGAATAGTACTCTTCTTTCTTAGCAGTTTAACACCCTATCGCTAAGACTACTGCTACTGGCAAGTTAAAATTAATTAAAGCGTATGGCTATCCTGCTTGATTTAGAGCATGACTGTAGCTTTTCCCTAATTTTTGCTCACAGGTATTATGAATAATTTAAACTGGGCAATTCGATTTTTTCTTTTTTTTATCTTGAAAGGATTCCCCAGTGTGTTATCTCGCCTGTTTTAAAGAAGAGTTGTAATATTTCTTTCGTTTTTTTTTTTTTTTTGCCTAGAGCTATCGCAAGCACGTTTACTGGGTCATTTCACTTTTTACTATACCTGGAAAGCGTTTTTCTATTAATTTCGACAGTGCTTTTTTTTCTCTCTTTCTATTGCATTGTTGATATAATAATAATAATAATAATAGTTTATTTCCATGAAGCATGGTGGAGCAAGGGTAAAAGCCTCAAAGGAGGCTTGACCAGCCCTCGGCCCCGTACATTGGCATTGCAGCGAAAAAAAAATATTTTATATATATATATATATATATATATATATATATATATATATATATATATATATATATATATATATATATATATATATATATTAGGGCTCGGCAATTGATCGATTAACCTTCCGATTAATCGATTAAGGCTTTAATCGCGATCAATTTTTTAGCCGGTTAATCGGTTTTTTAATCGGTACCCAAAAAGAGGTCGATTAAACGCACGCACGGCTCTATCCTTGACGACCTGCCCAAACAAAAAGTTCGGGCAGGTCGTCCTGCCCAAACTAAAAGTAACGACACTTAGCCATACTGTGTCTTAAAATTATGGTTGCCAGTTATCTGAAGCTTTATCTGAAATCACAGGAAACGCCTTTCCGTCATCCACAAATTTTTAAACAGTTCGTGACACAGCAAATCAATATTGCGTGACCTTGCTAACACCGAATCTAATGCTGAGGATGTAACACTTTTGAATCATGACGATCGGCACGAGCCTAAATGGCGGCGCCCACAACAATGCCGGGGAACGGAGTGCCGATACTCTAAGCGCAGCTTATTTTTATTTAGTGGCTCTAGGTTGAACTATATGTATCATCAATTGTAAAAGTCCTTTGCGGCGTGTACCGGAGTGTAAAATAAGTCTTCAAAGGCAAGCCAAGTAATTGCATTCTTTTCAATATATTATAAAAATCAACACAACCGATTAATCGATTAAAGGGCGGCGATTAATCGGGTTAAAATGTTTAATCGACGCCCAGCCCTAATATATATGTATAGTATATGCACCACATTACAAAACAGCCATTAGTCACCTAAAGAGATGGCAAGCACAGTCGTTGCAGACAGAAATAAAAAAAAGAAACACAAAAAGAGTGCATTCTGTATAGCATAAACAAATTAATGAATCATTTGAGTGGGGGAGGTAAATCACTGCTGGATATAAAGAGACCGCAAAGCCTTGAAGGAGATAGAGTCAATGCAAATTTCTTTTTCTAGAAGGAAATCATGATACACTCTAAAAAACGGGTGTAGTGGGTACACCCTCAGGGGGTGTAAGTGCTTCCACATATACCACACCCATAAAGGTGTACAAGTACACCTCAAAACGAGGTGCATATATACACCCTCTATAGGTGTGCATATGTGCGCCCTTTATACACCTTCAGTATTTGGGGGCGCACAGATACACCCCATACTGGGGTGTGTCACTACTCCTTTCTTACACCCTCACTGTCGTTTCGGTGTGCAGGTACACCCCAATTTAAGGTGTACAAGTATTCCCTTCTCTACACCCACCAACAGGGTTTGCTATTATGCCGTTGTTTATACCCACCCCGCTCATAGGGAACAGAGATACACCCGCCAGCAGGGTTTACTCTTATACCGTTTTTACACCCACCCCGCTTATATGGAACATATATACACCTCATTCAATGATGTACCATTACACCTCTTTGTGCACCCACCTCAAGAAAACCCGTGAAAAATGAACGCGCCCAGGTGGTTGCAAAAAGACAGGTAAACAGACACAACGGATTGTTTTCAAATCTCCTATAAGTTTATTAGACAGCCTATTCCGTAAACAAGTACAAACTTCTAAGCAATCTGTAATATGTGGATGTACAACGAAGCTGTTACACAACTGAGGAGACTACTGAGCGAACAAGAACTTCGGTGATTCTTAGGTAGTGTCTATTCTCTCAGCATCCGGCAGAATTATTTACCCGAAATCGTGCCGGCAGTCGTCACTCATTGGCGATATAATTACTTCATCCAACGACGTTTCATCGACAGCTCAGGTTAGCTTTCCTCTATAAGCATCTCTTCTTTTTTTCTTTTTTGTAATGAGCCGCCCCAGACTATATGCGCGAGGTGATATGTGCGGGTATCACAGGTAGGGTAAACATTTTTTTAATGAGCCGCAACATACTGTCGCCACGAAGCGACGTGAACGGGTGGGCTGGGTCGGTGAGCACGCGCCTCGGAGACACACGCTCGACGAAATGTCCCTACAGCGTGTATTTCGCGTAACGAATGACGGTGAAACGTTAATGTCGACGAAACGTGTCTAGAAAACGTGTGTCAACGAAAAGGTGTCCATCAAACGCGTGTTCACAAAACGCCGGGAGAATAAGAAAGTCACCTGCGGTTATCACATGATTGTAGACAGCTAATGGCAGGCGACTGCCGATAGAATTTCGGTGAAATTATTCTCCCGGCTGCTATGAAATAGGCTCTGCCTAATTTTAGACGTAATCCGGAACGGAACGGTCAATTGCTGCAAAGGAGTAGGTTGCAGCACATTTACGACGAAAAAACCGGACTTGAATTATGTAATCCGAGATAGATGTTGACACGGGCACTGCAGAACCACACAAACACAAACACGGAAAGAAAGGGGTGTGTGAAGATTCAACACGATGTGGCAGAAGAAGTAATTTGCCAAACCGAACGATGTACGTTGGACTTTTCAAACACTGGAAGCCTTGGTACACGCGAATACGTTGTCGCGGGCGAAATCTCTGGCAGCCCCGCTGGTCGCAGCACAGCACACTAGAAACTAGGCCGGGAATCCGAAATTCTGGATCGGAAAGAGCTACTACGTCACCCGTGAAACCTTTGCCACATGATCATGCTCCTGCCATTACCCGCGCCCAGACAGCGGACTCGAGGGATAAAAAAAAGCTTTCGGTTCATTGGTTCGACGACTGCATAGCCTCTTCCACGCTTTCAGCTTAGGGAGAGAAAAGAAAAAAGAGAGGAGCATACGAAAATAGCAGCTCCTTCAAGGCCAAAAGTGGCTGCCCTCGCGAAGGCTTATCTTCAGGGTTATCCCAACAATTAACACAGCTAGAGGATTTGTCCCCTGTATCCTCTTGAAAGTTCGACCCAAAGTTAATAGTGCAGTGGATGCTACCCGTGGCCTTGGCCTTCAGGCAGGTGCCGTGCTCTGCCTTATGTCTAGCTTGGAGACTGTAGTCACGTGATCCTACCCGGAGACCCGATTTGCCTAAAACAAGCATAGTGTCTACTCTACTGTCAATACCGAGTGAACAAAACAGTTCCATACTTCCTAAGAAACTGCCCAACTCAAAATTGACGCCCAAGAGGGCATCCAAGCACAGGCTGGCCGGGGCGCGTGGCTAGCGTGGCAGTGCACTGATACACCTAGAGGTTTTTAAGGGAGAGGAGGATGCTCATTGTCGGTGCACAAATACACTGGCTGGGCAACGGAGGGTCCATCTTTCAGGAAAGGGGTGCATGTGCTGCTGATACACCCGACTACACCCGTTTTTTCTTAGAGTGTATAGACCGTTCCATTAGGGTCATAGCAGAGAGGGTAAAAGAGAAAAAAATGCGCTCCCCCTCTCACCCCGCATGACGTCCGCCCCGCCGAGTGGGCTGTAGGTAGCGTCCGGCTGGCGTGCAAACTCTGTTTAATATCGCGTCATTTTGGAACTTTCAAGCGCAGATGCGCAGATTTTGATATGCCAGTTGTCGTGTAATATTATGCTAGATAAAAAGACTCACGGGGTCGAATTGCGCTGTTACCTGCGTGCAAATAAAAAAAATGATTGGGAAAACTGTGTCTGATTGGCCGGTCTCTTTGGCGAAAAGTAAATCCGGTGGCTGTACCTTTTTTACTATACACAAGTTCGTACTGGTGTGGGCCTTTAGCGACCGTGAGTGGAAGTCTGAAATAATAAATAAAACGTGCTCTCCTGCCACACTACAAGCAGTAGTTGAGGGTAGTACTGCCGGCTGACTCAACTGCTATTTAAGTAGCGGAAAAAAAGATATGCTAGTTGATCATTTAGCAAAATAGAACAACAGAGAGCTATAGGCTGATTTTGGAGTAGCCACAACTGTTCTAAGAACGCGAACCACTTCACAACGGCAGCCACGAGCGAGAGTTCGATGTTCGTTAGAGCCCGCCGATACAGCCCAATGATGGAGAACGGCAACCTCCCGGTTTGTCGTCTGCTAGCGGAGTCGCGCGCGTGCCCTCTCTCTCGTTTTACCCCGCCGAACCCGCTGAACTTCCCGGATGTGTGGAGAGGGCGCTGCGGTCGCACAAAATGGTGCCGCCCAGAGAGCGCTAAATGGAATGGTCTATATCGAACCAATATTGACTTGAATGTATTTGGGTAATTCTATCATTATATGCTTATTTTCAGCATAATGGGGAAATCCTGTTTGGGCTGAGCTACCTACCAACAGCTGAACGTCTCACCTTCAGCATCATGAAGGCCAGCAACCTTGTGTCACCATTGAACAACGTTGAATCCTTCTGTGAGTTCTTTATGTTTAGCTTTCATAGTCTTACTAACTGTGTAAACGCACTAACCCAAATCTTGTATGATGTCAATGTTATCTTACAACCTGGCACGTAGCCGGGGGGGGGGGGGGGGGGGGGGGGGGGGGGGGGTTCCACTCCCCTTCATACATCACTTAATCATGGGCGGGCACCCCCCCCCCCCCCCCCCCCGAAACAAAATCCTGGCTACGTGCCTGCTTACAACTCTCTTACAAGGGAGCTTGTGAACTCTTTTCAAGTTCCCAAGTTCTTGGTTTTGTTCCTTTGAATGTAGTAACACCGACAGTTTAGCTAGATGACACTCTAAAGAAGTATAAGTTTGAAAGAACCACTGCAAGCAACATTGCAAACAATTAAACTTACGAAAGTCCTCACACTAAAGACCCGTTCATAAAATTATTCCGATATTGATATCCAGGGTTAATTTTTTTTTTTTTTTTTTTACTGGGCTCACATTGTAAAAAGTGGGCTTTTCTAGTCTTATCAATGTCGTTTGAGAAAAGAGCAGAGGAGAAGCTATGTAACATCCGATTTAAGCAATTGTGCAGTTTTTATCAAAATTGTAATTCGATCAAGTTTCACAAGACATATTTAGAATCTCTGTTTAGGTCCTGAGCTTGTTAAAATTTCCCACTTTAAATTTAAAAACAATTATCGCCGCAACTTTAAATTCTAAATGTTTCAATTAGCTTTAGCTGACAGCTATCATAGAATGCAAGGTAGGAAGGTCATACTGCATCAGATCCTTGCACTTTAGTAGCGAAGCATGATGGTCATGCATGATGATGACTCACCGTCATTGACCGTCTTGTTGAAATATATATATATATATATATATATATATATATATATATATATATATATATATATATGTGTGTGTGTGTGTGTGTGTGTGTGTGTCTGTCTGTGTAAACTGGTAACTAAGATCCCCATGACTTAATTTTATTCTAAAATACTATCTGAGAATTTAAAATCAACTAATGTTTACACTGAAAAATCATATTGAATACTTTTTATAGCGTATACAAACTGGACATAAAAGGTTGCGGGACATTTATATAGAATGCTTTTATTTTGCCTATTAATACCCCATTCATGCGACCAACATAAAGGTACCTTTAACATAGGTCCCTTCGCAATCGGCGAATCAGCCCGCCCTGATGAATCGCGAGCGCATGCCACGCGCGGAGGTGCGCGAACTCATTGGCCGCTGGCCATGAAGGTCCCTTAACTAAAGGGATGGTTGTGTGAATGGGGTATAAATTTTAGTACGCGTAAATATGCAATCGGAACGCATATACATATATTGATGTCGCTGAATGCGTGAACGTTCCTGCACTAGTCCATAAAAGCAGAATGCTGCCCCTTCCAGAAACCGATCCACAATTTAGGCTTGATCGGATACCAACTCTACACCATATGTGCCGCAGCGTGCAGCTGTCTCAAGCAGTTGATATTTTGTCACAGTAAATTCATTAGGTGATGAACAGTGTGGGTACTTTTTTCCCCCGATTTTCCCGCGGGTGCCGCACTCTTGGCGCTCAGTACAGAGCGGGTGCCTTCCAGTTGCTGCTCCGAGGCCGTCATAGTTGGGGCATGCACTTTGAGCTTGCATCGAACTCGCGAGTGCTGCGTCTGCGCTCGGCGCAAACTCAGATCCAATCACGCTTCTCGGAGAAAGCGATGCCCGAGATATGGCGGCCGCCTAAATTGCACGAAAAACTATAAAAAAAAAAAGGCTTTCGGTGTTGTATTGAAAATGTGACTTCCTAAGTTTTAGATACTCCGTGAAGAAAATCAGGCTATATTGTTTTTGTATCTTCTTTTTGCTTTGTCGCGAAATGTTTTGACATCTGTGGAGGCGAAAAAACCATGTCTTGCGGTTTCAGATATCTGCCGACAATGATTTTAAGCACAAAGATGGCGGGAGTGTCATTATTGCGAAGCGATATTTGGTTCTAGTGTGTACTACACAGCGGTAGTTGAGTGGCACCGTTATTAGAATATTGTACGGACGCGAGGTGCTTCAGTCCATTCATCCGTCTCTGTTGTCCCTGCGCGTCCTCGCAGTTCCCTGCGTACGGATCCTGCTGTTCCACAACGGCAAGCTGAAGAAGAAAAAGAAGACGGCCCCGAGACAGGGCACGCTGTGCCCCGTGTACAACGAGTCGCTGACCTTCGACGTGCCCCAGACCGAGTTAGACCGGGTGGTCTTCCTTGTGGTGGTGAGCCACCGAGACCCCGGTCAGGGGGGTTCCCTCTCCTCCCCGGACTCTCCGACCACGCCCGTGGCAGGTTCTCCTCAGCAGCACGTCGGCAAGGTACTGGTCGGTGCATCGAGCAGAGGAAGCGTACTGCACCACTGGAACGCCATGAAGCAGAGCCCCAGGAAACAAGTGACCCAGTGGCACACACTACGATGAAAATGCTACTGTCTGCGTAGTCGAGCGAAGAGACTTGGGGCGGGATCTCTATGGTGTGGTTCCTGCGATGACGAGTTTGTGGAAGATGCTTTAAGCCAGCTGTGAAAGTCGGCCAAATCATCGTGAAAGAGGTGTCGAAAGAACTGCTGAGGCTGTCAAAGTTTGCTGACTCGTCGTGGGAGAGGATAAAAATGACCTCGGAGTGCAAGGAACTGCGCACACTTGCAAGGCAGAGTTGTCTGTGTCTGAGACATCGTGGGGGAAAGAAGTGGTTCTTGTGTGGCGAAAGTTAGGAGATGACCGTGGGAGCACACTCCACAAGACAGTGATTGTCTACATTCACATCATCAAGACCCGACCAGGAAGCCCTTGATATGTGTTGAAAAGTGCTGAATTGCAGACCCCGCGACCTGGGGGGGTAAAGTTTCTAGATAAGAGCTTCCTACAGCTAGCGACATACTTTGAAGCGCCGACTGCGTGACGGGACAGGTTTTAGGAAGCGAATGCTGGCTCATAGCTGAAGACTAAGCTGATTGACGCCATTTTGTTCCAGCGGTACGTTCTTCGTCATTCGTATTGGTTGTTACTTGTAAAAAGTAATATCCAGGGGCTTTAGTTGGGAGTGGTTATGCAGCATACTGTGTTATCAGGGGGAAGAGGGGAAATATTTTAAGCAGAGGGATGATTTCTGAGTAGGTGACGGTTCGAATTTCAGCATCTTACACTACGCCCATCTTGGAATCTTTATTAGGTGTCGGTGCGTTGAATTCTAATCGAATTGTACTTTGTCATTCCTAGTTTTCCCAGTGCAGGGAGTAAATATAGCATAGCTAACCTTAGCAAAGTGTAGGTTATGAATGATTCAGCGCTCTTCAGTTTGAGCTAGTCTTCGCACATCACCGTCATGTGCGGAGCGTTACAAACCACAAACAAGATATGCAAAAAAAAAATCGTTTACGATTGAAAACGCTGATTTGAAGCTATATTCAGTTTCACCATACATTCCAGCGTAATACAGGTACACACAAACATAATAAATGCGCATGGTCATTGTGCATTTACTGCGGTTGACTCGTTTTAACCGACGACAGTCCACACGCAGAAACATGACGAATTTCGTGACGCTCTTCTGTTGTCGCTGATTGATTGAACCCATTATCTCGTATAGCGTTGGTTGCGCTCAAACTCAACCTGACAAATAGCGTGGGGAACTTGCGCACCGGGGAACCGTTCGAGGTGGTGAAGTTTGGTGCTCATCAATACCCTGTTTCAGCAAAATGCCGAAGGCACCGACGCCGCGTCTTCGTTAGGTGTGTCGCACTGTGTACGTACATACCAGGCGAACCCCAACAGTCAAGGAATGCTGGCGCAGACGGCTGCTATATGTTAGAAACGAAGAAAGATCTGGAAGAGTTGATGATCGCGTACCTGATCGCACGGGGATAGTGCCGTATCTTAGATGAAGACATCCTGGTTTTAGGTGTTCTTGACACGAGACTAGCGATTCCGTCGAGTAGTGAGGAGAAAACACCCGATTATTGGGTAAACCAGCGAACATATCTAATATCCCAGTCACAGGACAAAGTGAATGTCATTTCCATCAAATTGAATTATTTAATATCCTAATTAGCGCGCGACGCTTATAGTTAGAATGGCTAGCTGATCCGCCTATTATATATAATCTCATTCGATGGAAATGACATTGACTTTCCCGTGCGGTAGAGATATTACGCACACAGTTTTGTTTCTGAGTATTGCCTTGACTTCCCAAGCTGAGACTAGAAAGTGCCTCCGATATATTCCTTGTTGCGAGAAGGACATCGTCACCACTGACTGCAAGCAGGGTTCGCTCCCCGTGCGGAAGAACACGTGTTTTCCGACCGGTATACATTTTGCCGGTTACTCTCCCAGCATTGCACTGTAGGGAAAGAATCGGTTGCATAAAGGTGACACAAAACCAGCGCTGTCTATACCATCAGTGTGAGTATGCGTCTCAAGAGCGTATTTTAGTAGGGTGTTATACAATGAAGAAAGATTGGAGAAAACTGTCTGGTCATGTAAAGTGTTATTTCAATCCTTCAGAAGGTCAAGTTGAAAAATGCTTGGGGCGATAATTTATTTTTGAAATGGCATCTTGGACATAGTGTAAATATTGAGGGAGCCTTCGAGAAGTCAGTGCCTCAAGCGCTAAAGTGAGTGAAATTAGCACAGCGCGGACAAACAAATCTGGATATTATAGAACAGTGAGCTGCTTTTATTTTTAGCACAAAACAGAATAGGTACAATTCTTTGTATTCATGATAGAAAGCACTCAGTATAAACGAGGTATATATGCGACTGCCTATTTCAGATTGTTTTTAATGTCTTCATGTAGTAATTAATATAGGTCTACTTGAGTCAGATTCTAGATCTACAAAAAGTTTGTTAATAATTCCATTCCAGTCTTTAAGCGATCAGAAAACATTCGTCGGTGATGGACCGCTCTTTCATAGTACTTATACTTCATCCATTGAAGTCTACGATGTCCCTCTTTATACATCCATACAGGCCACGCCCTAACTCATACTTATTGTTGTTGTTCTACAGTGTAGTAGTGTCAGTGTTGTACTCCTGTAGTGTAACGAATCGGTTGTTTGCTTATTGTGCCCTCCCTGTGACCGATCACTTTATTATCTCTCTAGGTGTAGTATAATGTCTGACAATGTTCTTAGTCTCTTTTTTTTTTTTTTTTTTTGTTTATACCATACATAATTTTGTAATTCTTTCCAGGGTGAAAGATTGCATAATTTCTGTAGCGCTAGGCTAAGACGATGTTTTATGCATTCTTGTTTTATTCTCCATTGAAACTATAGACACGATTAGTGATTTCTGGGCAGTTTCAATTAAACATTATTTTATGTTCTCGGTTTATTTTTATTTTTTAAGCGTTGTCTAGGAATTAGTTCATAATGTCCGCGTTACATGTAATTTTAGCAACCTAATTCAGAACGCGCTGCTCTTTATACCAGTGCGCTTTTATTATCCCTGCGATGTAGATGAGCATAATTCTAGCACCTCGCCTTTTTGTCGAGCAATTCCTGGGTAAAGTTTAGACAAGAAACGAAAAAGTGGAGTTATCAAATTTCCTATAAAACGATACTCGTATGTTTGGGAGTTAGCACTAATGAATAATGTGGACCTTTGCCGTCTTGTTGCGATAATAAGTTTTACTTCGCATGCCAGAAACCTTGCCGGTTAAAACGCAAGGCCGTGTTGAGGGGCCGACTCCTGAAACAGGGATTGAGGCAGTTATTCAGCAGGTTGCATTCAAGATAGGCAGTAAAAATATGTAGGTCGCACTGGTGATCCCGTCAAACGAGCGCGACAGCTCTTTTTTTTTTTTTTTTAATCTTAAAAAAAAATCTTTTTCTCGAAACTTACACGAAGTATAAGAAACAAAAATATCGTATCGTTTTATAACTACGAGGTTAGTCCTTGGCATGATCACTGACAGAATGAAAACGTCAGGACGTCTCTTTTCGAATTGCCGGCCTCCAGCACGCACCCGTTGCCCTCCACCGTGCTTTGGCTTCACGTGCTCGCTCGAAACCCACAAGACGCCGAAGCATTATCGAAGGTAGAAAGCGCCGTCCTAATTTTCTCTGGAAGGGCCTTCCTGCCGTTCTAACTCTGTCAGTGAACTGCAATTTTCTGCTAACGCAGTGGCAGACGCCGTCTTGTGTCCTGCCTGCAAAGCTTCATAGTCGCCGTTCGAGCACTTCCCCTGTGTTTCTTTGTGAGCTTCGTAGAGCGATGTTGTTGTCACTGTATAATTCTAAGAGTGCCCAAATCAAGTTTCGTTATATTTTGGATATTTTGAATGTTATCTTTCGTCATTCCATGGGGAAACGAGAGGCTGATTTCGCTCTTGTTGAATTGTTGTGAGGTGAGCGACGCAGCCGTGCACTTCCGTTTCCGTTTTACAATAGCTCCCCTAGTAAAAAAGAATCATTTGTATGAGAAATTGCTTGTGTCCAATAAACACATATGAATCATACAAGATATATAAGAACATATAAGAACCGTATAAGAACTATATGAGAAAATTATAAGAATTATATAAGACATATAAGAACCCCATAAGAAACTTATAAGAAACTTCCCACTAGGTTCTTATATGTGCTTGTATGTTCTCATGTATCTTATATAGTTCTTATATAGCTCTTATATGGTTCTTATACGGTTCTTATATGTTTTTATATATCTTGTATGATTCATATGTGTTTATTGGACACAGAAATTTCTCATACAAATGGGAATTTTCAATAGGGTCCCATGGAGTTGTTATCTGGTCTCGGTACTAGGGATGTTGGTAACCTGCCAAAACTCGAGTTCTTCCAGGTTCGATGTTTTCGTACTTTTAGCGCGAAGTTCGACGAAGGTTCGTCTGTTACGCGCACTCCCTGAAATCGAAAACGAGCAGAACGCCACCTAGTGGAGAAAGAGGGCAATGATTATCGGGTGTATTGTTTCACATTACGAGACTAACTAAATTACACCAAAAAATAGTTTCAATTTGCGTTTTTATTGTGTAAACTATAAAACAAACTACCGTATTTTCCGGGCTATAGTCCACGATCTATACATGTTTTAAAGTTGAAATTTCTGGCTCTGCGGTCTATCTACACGTGCGGACTATACAGGCATATTGTTTTCCTAGATCGTTCATTGTGACGAGACGTGACGGAATTTGTAAATGAAAGAGTATGTTAATGATCATTTACGTGTAATACAAGCTTCTTTGTGAGCTAAGAAAGCAGACATCTGTCAAGGTGTGCCGTGTATAAGATCTTCCTCTCAACCAAGCACCAAATGCGGACTATCTAAACAAAAACTTTCGTTTTCGGCCTAAATTGGCTTCTGCGGACTACACACCGGGTCCGGACTATAGCCCGAAAAATACGGTACTGCATAAATTATATTTTACAAATATTTGAATTTGTTTTGTGTAGCAGTCGGGCAGCTCTGTGTCAAGCCAAACTTCACAGAACTTTGCCAAAAGTTCAAGGGTACATTCGCCGAACCAGTCGAATTCGAAACATCCCTGTCGGTACTAAATCTAGACCAGAATTTGATTTTTTTTTTTAATTTGTCTGTACAAAGGTGTATATAATTATTTTTGAATGTATGCCGCCGCGAAAGCAACTATGTGTACGGCCTGCATTCTATCCGGCTGCATTTACGAGACTGTGGATCGTGAAGCAAAGACTTTGTAATAGTGTTGTATAGCGTTCGTTAGAAGGGTATTATCGAATGCGCTCGCCAGTCATAATAGAAATAGGAAAAATTGCGTGTGATATTGGTCGCCTCTTCGCCTTTCTGGAGTCTTCTTGCCTCAGCATAAAGATTAATCTACCGTAAAACCCCGAGCAATCGCCCACCCCATATTTTGTCTTTTTATCTCTTCATAGTAGGTGGGCGATGTTCTGGTAGGTTTGCGCGACTCAATATATATATATTTTAGAAATAGCCCATCTTTTTGGAACCGCTATACCGACCGTCTAAAGGTGTTCACTCAAGTTTGGTGCTTGTTTGAGTACATATAAAGCTCAACTACCTGGCATTTGCTTTTTTCAGCGTTGTGGCACAGAGATTATCCGTTCACTATTCTCAAGTGAAAATCTAATTGTTTTCACTTGAACAATGTTGCCCAATCCTGTGATAACAAGAAAAAATGTTTACCTTTCAACAAGTGCTATGTACAACGTCAGCCGAATTCGCACGACTGGGTTCGCTTTGTGTTCTGCTGCCAGTTCACGTCAAAGGCTATTTATTGACTGTGACGCTGAAAAATAATGGCCATTTTTCAGCCCGTGGGACGCCACTTGTGTTCATCCCTCTCTAGCACACGGTTATCATGTACAGTCATGTTGGCATGTCTCTGTGTGTATCTCAAGGTGATGATTCCATTCTGTCTGTAGGGTGAAGTGTTAGAGGGCACGATTGGTGACTCGTGGATGTGTGTGGAAGGAAAGTCACCGCTGTGAATACACTGTCACGCGCGCAGCCTATACTGGTCTACCACCAACATTGCATGTTCATGTTGCGGGATCTTTCTGTAAACTCGACGAGGTCTCGAACCAGCTTTGGTATCTTTATAAGCTCGCCCCGGTAATTGTCCTCTTGGTTACGGGTCATTTGAGACAGAGTCTGAGCACAGACTCTTCCCGAGTGTTGTCGTTGAGTTTGAAGACAGCCCTGCCTCTTAATTACAAATGTGAAACCTGTATTTTTTTTTACTGCCATGTGATTTACTATGAGTTATTTCTAATGGCTGGTACATACACTTGCGTTTGAGACACTGGCGATTTGCGCTTTTTTTTTTTTGCGCATAATTTTTTATTGTGGGCTTTAAAATAATTGTTAATGTTATAAACGACAATTTCTCATTGATTGCACAGTATACATTTGATTTCGCAAATACTGCAGAACCGCAAAAACGGAAGTGTGTGATCCAAAAGCAGAGAACGTTCTTCACATTGAGCCTCTAAAGCTGATGTCCCAAATAGCGGTCATGTTAGAAAACATTTTATTATTTTATTATTTCAGACATGCGTAAAAATGAGGCGAAAACCGATTAATCTGCGAAAGCATTTTTTCCCCTCTGCAGACGGCTATTCAATAACTTTAACAATTCGAAAGATAATGGTCTTAAAACATGTCTTGCAGTTTGACATTGACAGTGGTGCCGCTGCTTTTTTTCTGGGCTTGTTAGGCTTGTGAACACAAAACACGTTTCAAGATGGCCGCGATGGGATTATGCTTTCAATGTCGCCGATTGTTTCAACGTTTTAAGAAGGTTGCTTTTCTGTCCCTTCTGTAAAGAAGTCAGTAATTAGGATAGGATGCACACATGCTTAGTGCAATTTCATATTGAAGGTAGATTTTTTTCTTTTTTTTCTTTTTAATTTGAGTGCATTCTTGAACAAGACAAGACATACACTCGAATTCTGAAGAAACTTGAGGTCGAGTGCCCAAGTCCCATTTCTTGACATTTGTGTCGAAATTACGAGATATTTTACTAGTAAAGCCTTAGCAATGCTGTGTGGGAAAAAAATTCGAAAGAAGAATATATTGAACTATAAACATTTGACACCCAGTATTTTAATGAAAATGCAGTGAACTGGGTTATATTTACGCAACAGCATCCCTGAGTTCCCACGGTAGAAAAAATAAACCAGTTTTCGTATACTGTTTCGATTCAAAGGATATATAAGATGCATTTCACAACGCCTGTCGCGGGCCCATTTAGTTCCAGTGAGGCTGTCACGTGAATATAGGGTTACGAAACGCCACATTCTTTTCGAGTATCATTATTTTTTGAATATATCTGTTATTGTTACTACTATTGATTGTGTTATATCCTTGTTGTAAATACCAGTGTGTTGTACAATGTGCTTTCTGATTTCACATCTGAAAAGATGTTTTGTCACGTCCGAGTATTTTCGTGTGCCACCGTGTAATTGAGATCGCTGATTTTAATTCCTGGATCGCATATGATCATCATGCGCTATTGCGTTTACTTTCTAATAGGGGATATTTCAATGCCTTTGGTGAACGTGCGGATCTATTTATTTATTTTCCTGCGTATATTTTGAAGCTGCGAATAAAGATGCTTATGACCGTTATTGCGAACTGCTTCACTACAATGCTGCAAAACACCTTGAACCACCGTGGAAGAT